GTCGGAGTACGAGTGTACACGGCTAACAACTGTGTTCTATTTCACGAAATAGTTTAATTACACGATAGTGTATACTAATTTTCCTCTGAAATCACTTTTATTGATAATATTTCGTATTGCTGACCTTTGTAGTTTTGCATTTTTTGTCAAAACGTTTCGACATTTTTTACATAGTTCTAGTATTTTTTTATTTATCTGCATATTATTAATAGAATTTAAACAATAAATAAAACCATCAGGATTTCGGCAGTGTTCACCTAGCGTCATCTGGTGCGTTTATACTAAAAATACTGCTTAATAGGTAAAAGCCATATGATACTATTGCACAACGTGCAACACTTTTAAACAAATATTAAGGATTTCCTGAATATTTATTTAGCTTAAGTTTATAATTCTGAATAAGTATTGATCATTTTCATTATATTTACGTCTAACAGTTACATTTTTACTGGAGAAGCTATGGAACGTGTTATTTGTATGTTCAAATACACGAAAGTTGTGGTTGCAGTTGTTCCTTTATTCTAATATTTAATTATTTTCCTTTTTCTTTTGTGTAAAATTCCTCATAATTCGTGCACGCAATTTTATAAATATAGCCAGAATTTAAAATTTCGAGTCTAACTGTAGTTTGTTAGTTTTTAGGGTAATGACAAATCGAATTTATGGTGAGAGTCAAGCGAAAAATAAGCCCGAAAATATAAGTGAAGATGGTGTCTTACAGCGGCTCAGAAAACGCTTAGTGTGGATTAGATTGACAGCGATGTTATTACGTTAAAACGATCTCATTTAGACAGCGAAAAAAAATCGTCGTATGATTCGGATTATATGATAATCACGGAGAAAATAAGCTTGTTATAGCTTACAACGTAGTTAAGTCATTAAGCAATACATCGCGACTTACACTTTTCATTATTCATGCTTCAATTTTAACGGTAGTCATAATCTGGACTTAAGGAAGATTTAAAGCTCTTACCAGTTTAACTGGTGCATAAATTTTAGATTTTGTTTTAAAAGCTTCAGACACTAGCGGGTTTTATGTCACTTGTAATATTTCTCGTGGCTAAAAGCTGTGTGGTTTATTTCATATGTACAAAATAATAACAATAGAAAATACTTGCTATTTAGTTGCTCTAATAAAACAACAGCTCTTGCCTCTTGGTGAGAAATTAAAAGTTGCATACAAACGAATTAATAATAACTAGTGAAGTAAGAAGATATTTAACATTCAGGGGGGCCAACAGTGGCTGTAACATGCAACATACGCAACTTCTGCCACTACCTGTCCATGGAGCCTGACAATCGACGTGGCCTCTCCTACATCATAGCAATTATAGTTTTTATATAACTCCAGACGCAACATGCGATAGACCATTTCTCTGAAACACAATTTTTTGAAATATTGGGTGAGGGGGGGGGCAATTATATATTCTTCCCTCCCCTAAAATTACTGGGGTCGAGACTCCATGATCTCTCCTTGTTCCTTCTTTACAGATATCGGTCTTATTACTGAATGCAAATAACGAAATGTAAGGGATGTTGGAAATAGGAAAAAAAAAAAAAAACTTATCAAAATACCTTAATGACATTCGTTACTCTAGAGCAGCTTTCTCAAATTGGGGTCCTGGTTCAAAAGGTGGTCGCAAGATTATTGTAGGTGTGTCGCGAGATCATGAAAAAATATTGCGATAACGGATATTTTAGAGTATGTACAATAATTTGATATCATTGTGTGTGCGTCTGGGGGAGGGGTCGTCACAGCCTGAAATATTTTCAAAGTAGGAGGGGCAGCAAACAAAGTTCGAGAACCCCTGTTCTAGAGCCAAGATTACCAAACTGGGGGTCGTAGGGGAAATGTCTGGGAGCTGTAACCTGTTCGTGTGTTGAATTTCGTGCAAAACTACTGAAGGGTTATTTACGCTAGCAGTCCCGAATTTATAAGTGATGGACTAGAGGGGAGGCAACTAGCTAATACTACTCTCCATCAAATCTTGGGCTACTCTAATCGAATAATGGGAGGAACCATCACATTATAACTCCACTAGAACTGAAAGGGCGAGCTGAGCATATTCTGTGTTGGAATTTGAACCCACGGCCCGGAAATTATGAATCGAGCACCCTAAACATCAAGTCAAGGAGCGTAGCAAATGTACAATACTGTTAAGATATCTGTATATTCATTGAGTTGGGTGGGACCCTTACCCATGATGTGGAATGTTATGGAAGGTGTTGTGCTGAGAAGGTTTGGGAACCCCTATCGTTGTACATAAAAATAATAGGGTGAATATTTTTACACCATTAACCATCCGATACTTATCGTTATATATATTCTTTAATCTTCTGGTAATTTTTCACTATTTCGTATTAGATAGTTATGAGAATTTTATGCAAATGTTTAAAAGCATGGACCTAAGTTCAGTTTATATTATTTATGTAAATGTAATTATATCCAACATGTGATTCGTACTAAAACAATTTAGATACTTGAAATCTCGAGACAGATGTTTGTAAAGTTACGAGGAACAGACCATATTTTCACATATTGTTATCAAAAATCTCTTAATGTATTGGAAAATACAAATTCCCCATTCAAGTGGTAAGGTGGCTTATGGTTACAACACGTATAAAAACTTTGACTTTCTGGTGGTATGTGCTTTAGAAGTTTATATTTAAAATGCACACTAGTTGCAGGTTTTTATAATTCTAACAATAGCTTCACGAAATCTAAACGGTATAATAAAATGTACCATGCAGAAGTAGCTAAAGGATGACCAAGAGGGTGTACCGATATGAAGCTACAAAGAAGTGTGCTTAACTTCTGCAAACTAAATGAATCATTGAAAAAAACTAAAACAGCATCCATCGTGTTCGTTGTGTCGTGAACATGAAGTGGCATCAAATTAATTTCCACAGATTAACACAATCCGCCACGTCTGAGAATATTCAAGCATATTGCAAACTGCGAAACTATTAGGCATTAGCGCGATCCATGATTTATTTTTGTGAACTTATAGATGTCCTCTTTGTACACAAAGCCCACAAGCGATTCGCTAGATAGCAGTACTTAAATGGCGTACAATAATTCGGATGAGATCCTGTGTAGGTAAACATATTTTTTCAAAGTAAAAATGTTCGTAAAACGTTTGCAATTCTGCAGTTTGGATTATTATTGCCTAAAAATAGAACGTAGAAGTAAAGACTTAACCTAGCAAAGATAAGGAAACCAGTTTTGTTTATTCCAGCTTGATCTGACCATAAATTTGATCACAACTCATCACTAGTTTCCAATTATTTTCCACATTGAGCAACTTCAGATGATGACCACAAATCCAACAGCTGGACCTGAAGTTGTTGGGAAATACATCATTGTCTAAATACAGTTTTACTTTCTCTTCAGTATTATAATGATTAATAGTACAGTACTTCCTACTGGGGGACTACTGTAATATTCTCTGTATTATCCTCGATCAAGGGACTACTACAATATTCTTTATGTTATCCGTGATCAAAATTGTTCATAATCAGCTTCTGATTTTTTTCTTTCTGTATTACTACTGTATTATAACACATATCTACAGAGCCTGTGACTTTTTTGACACATATTTCTTAAATTTCAGTCATTTATTTCCTATAAGCTGGTGATTCAACCAGATATGGCAGTTTCGTCCCTGGTGGTTTACGTGGATTGGAAAGCTTTTTTAGTTGGATATTGAATTTAAACTCAAATGTCAGACACATTCTCTATGTATAATGTGTTTTTGCATATATGCAGGTTTTTCCTCTTTAAAAGAGTATTTTGTTTGAAGTTGTCAGCATACGTGCGAACTGGCTTCTAAGTATAGATTTAGCTTAGTAAAATCTATGGGGAAATTTGAAACATGCAGTAATTTTATAACCATACGTTGTTTCTGTGAATGAATATAGTTCACGTTCAGAGTATTAACCTACAATTTTCTTTTGTTTTGAGTTTTTTTAACTCAACTGTTCGTTAAAAGATACATAAATCTGGCAATATTTCGAAATAGATGTCTTTTCGAAGCTTTTATTTGTCCTTCGTACACTTCTAAATAATGTGTTTGGTACATATTAAGTGTAATGCGTTTAAATTTAATTTAAATGATAATAATTTGTAAAACAATGTGATAATTCAATGCAAGTTTATGGTGTGTAAACAAATCATCTACGATTTGCAAAACATGCATGAAGAAAATCGTGTTTCACTGCACATTATTTTTTGTTATTGTTTGTTTCATTGCATTTCTCTTGTACTGCACAGTACATCCGATTATGTTTGACCACCGTTAACTCATTTTAGCTCTTGAGCGTGGTTTGGGCGAAAAAACCTGCTCAGCGGTGACTTGCAGCAGACAAAAGAAAGATTTGGAATGCTAATTTTACACATCTTTGAATTGAAATTTGTAACAAACTAATTGAGAAGAAAGGGTTAAAAATCATCATTGTTAGGTTATTACACTTCTGGGAATGAGTATGGCTGTAAAATGGAATTTTATAATATATTTTTCGAAGTCCTTTTATTCAATATAATATAAAATCAATCTGTTGATTTTTCACAAATGAATATTTTTATGTCTATCGATAAGTTGTGCTATATCGAATTGACCAATTACAGGTACTCTGTTATAACATTATGTTAAAAATCAAGGTATTTTTTGTGTCTACATACACACAACACTACATAGAAAATCGAGACACACGTGTGAAGTGTACGAATATTATACTATTTCTTTTATCAAATTCAGGTTGAAAGGAATGAATGTCAAGTGTGTTTTGAATTTAACTGCACAACTATTGTCTTGTTGTGTTTCTTATTGTAGGAATTTTGTTCCAATGTCTGTACTCCGTTGCCGAATAGTTAATGACATTGAGCTGTTGTAAGCTGTAATATTAGTTTCCTTGTCTTGCAAAGTATGAACATAGTCTCTTAGCAAACATCATGTGGATCATCAGTATGCCTTCTTTTGATTAAACATTAAGTAAGAGATTTTATAAGCACGTTGACGTTACGAAAGGCAGGATATATAATACATCGAGATGTAATATTATTGTAGAATCTTATTAATTGATAGCTACTTTCTGTGCTACTCACCAGGCGTCGCCTCTGTAAAGCGCTCCTTCATGTTTCTGGCGCTGAATGTTGTTGGTTGTTTGTAAGGTAAAAGATGTAACAGGTGGCTTGGCGAGAACAGCTGTGATTGGCTGATAGAGGAGTCGTGCGCGCATGCCAGTGCCTTAAACGAACTCGCAGATCTCTAAATACTCAGCCAGTGATAACTCCGAGAGTAGACACATCAGGTCCTGCTCCAGGGAAGATCGCAGCTTTCTTAACACAAGGAGAAAGAAGAACGTAGTCGACAACCGAGTACCTATTAGGTGTTTTTGTATTTCGTAGCGCCCTGACTATAAACTGTGGCCATAGGCTTTCACGAACATCCCATATTATGATATAGCATTCAACAGAATACTAATTTTCTCAAGCCTGGAGGGAGAATCCAAGTGTCCAAAGTACAGACTGAAAATGGAATCAATACAACCGAGGTATGTTTCTTGATATATATATATATAGGTACAAAAAGATCTAAGTTCAAGTTTTAGTTCTAAAATGTACATAAGCGGCACTGAGGGAGAAAATTTTTTAATAATTGTGTGTTATTTTTAAGTTATTAAAAAACTAAAATTATGTATTCATCTGTTTCGAGTGTGTGCCAAAACAGTATTTGTTTGTGTTGCTGTTTTAATAAAAGTAGGTTTAATTTGCTAAGATATTAATAAAATAATTTCAAAAATTTCAACTAAAACATGTATTGTTAAATTAGTGTAGAGGATTTCAGAGTGTGAAACGTTTATTCTCTATAATATTTTACTGTGATGAATTAAACATCAACTATTATATTCATTTACAATATAAAAATATTACATATTTTTTGTATATGTTGCCTACTGAAATAGCTTTATTTTTGTGTTTATGTTCTTTCAAGTTGTCTATATTACAAAATTCGAATTTTTAAAGAAATTACCTCTTGCGACCACCTAGAGGCGCAAGAAAAGAGATAGATGATCTTGGATACGTTTATTAAAATGTCCGAACAGCTTACCAAGGGGAGCCCTAACTTTTTCCTGTGATACATCTCGTAATGTTAAAGAAATCTTTGGAGGCTTATATGTTATGAAGGCTTTATTACAGTAGGAGTGACTATTATTGTGTCTCGAGTTAATTAATCCTCTTTTATAAAAATTAATTCATTCGTTTCACACAAGTAAATTTCTAAAATGGCCTGACATTTGGTAAAATACGCTTAAGAAATAATCGCTACTTTTTTCAATTTATATAACTAAATGAATGAGAAAATACGTTTTTAAGAATTTTGTAGGCGTTGTTTATTTACAAAAAAAAAACTCCTTTAAAATTTTTTTCAGTAAGGTACTCGAAAATATTCAGGTACAATTTTTATTACGCTTTCCAAAACTGATTGTGTAAAAGTTTGAGATAATAAAGCTTCCTTCGGGTTGATAGCAATTCTTTTAACATAATCAAAATTTATATTCCACATTCTCCTCACAAAGTAAGAACATTCTAACGTTTTCAAGTTTCCACATGGATTACAGATTGCTTGAAAATTAAAACGACATAAAAATATTATGTGATAAACCTGTAAGAACTATTACAATTTGCACGATTTTTCAACATTTATTCGAGAAATAATAGTTATTAGGGAAAGGAAATCGTACTTTAAAATAATAGTTAAGTTTGATAATTAAACAAGGAACCAATTTTTAGAATAAATAGGCCCGGCATGGCCAGGTGGTCAGAGAGCTCGACTCGCAATCCCCGTCTCACCAAACATGCTCGCCCTTTCAGCCGTGGGGGCGTTATAATGTTATGGTTAATCCCACTGTTCATTGGTAAAAGAGTAGCCCAAGAGTTGGCGGTGGGTAGTGATGACTAGCTGCATTCCTTCTAGTCTTTCACTGCTAAATTAGGGACGGCTAGCGCAGATAGCCCTCGTGTAGCTTTGGCGCGAAATTCAAACCAAATCTTAGAATAAATTAATACAAATTATATATTTAAAGATTAGTTATTAACATGGTGGCATAAATATATGATTTGTATTCATCATGGAGAGTAATTAACAAAAAAAATCATAAAACTAGGGATTTAAAATATAAAATAGGAGTAATTATAAACCAAATTGTCGAATATTTTTATGATAATGTTTTATGAAATAGATGTTAGTCAAATGTATACTTATGTTCAAAATGATGGGGTTGGATCATGTGCATTTTCTTCGCTGTATGTGTATTTTTCATTTTCTCTCATTCAATGTAAGATTAAGCATTTGTTTATTTTTCTCTAAACTTTTAGAAAAAAAAAATCTAATCAGTATTTTGGCATAGTTTCTTCCAAAATAGTTTTGCAGCAACATAATGTCTTTCATGTCTTGGATATCTAAAGTGTTAGCGAATGCTGCTTGTCAATTAAGTTTTTTTTCTCGGGTTTGGGAAAGAAACTACAGAGCGATTATAAAAAAGACCCCATATTAATAATGATTATATTTTAAAAATATTTGTTTAAGCGCATTAAAATTCCTAAGTTTTATTCTGGAGAATTTGGAATTACTTATTACTGGGTATTTTTCAAAACTGAATTATATTACGTACTTTAATCGCATTTTTTCTACAAAACTAGCATTACTATTATTTTTCTTATTTTTCCATTATTCAACAATGCGAGGCTTGAGATTTGGGTAATATTCGTGTCGATGTGCAAAATATTCTGGGGTTCAATGAGAATTGTCTACGAGATACGGTGTTTGCAGTAGCTTCATTTAGGGAGAGGATTGGTATACCGACTTGAGAGTAGCAAAAAGCATGCTACATAGCTTCTTTTTATGAATCACCTTTTCCATTTCCAAATGTTTCTAGATGAAATTTGTTATCTTCAATGTGTCTCTGTCAAAATTGTGTGCCCCTAGGACAAGTAATGTTTCAGATGTAATCATTTTAATATGAGGTTTTTCTTTATAATCACTATATTTTAATCGAGCTAAAAGTTTGGTATTGGTAAAAAGTTCGATATTATTGTCTATACTAAAAACATTTATTTGCAAAATTCAGTTGCCAGCGTAGATGTCATTATTACTGTGTGGCTTCATAGATCGTTTCCCCCATATCTTGCGATCAATATTTCTTGTTTTTATAACAATAATCGTATGTTCCTGCAATATCCTCTTCCCAGTTGGTCATCTTGTAGACCCAACGTTATACACATTTTCTATACAAGAAATACACTTTGGCCATTTGCCCAGAACATTATTGTACAGTACCACTTTACACGGAAGAGGAACGTTGCGTGAACAGATGGGTTTTGTTTAGTGGTTCTTATTTCTGTTTTTATTTCCTTACACTGATAGTTCGGTTGTAGAAGAGTGCAGTAATGGTTAGTTTGACATAATATCTAACTTTCTGTGCCGTGAAGGAACATTTACTATAAGTTTATTTGTCAAAACATTGTTACAACAGGGACCTTTCGATCACATCCAATGAAACTGGCTCTAAAGTTGTAAAGGCAATTTTATAAAACAGGATATGCATTAATCGGCCAATTAATAAAACATAAGAATAATAAAACTCATTAAAGCTACAGCTGTTAATGTATGCGAATGTTAGCCTTTCATAGTTGAATGAAATATTAGCTTCATAGTTTAGGTTGTATATAAAATGTAATCGCTTCCTCGCGGTTTTGTTTTAGAATTCTTGTTTTACATGCACAGTAGAGTTTTCCAGGATCTGCCTTAGCCTTACAAAAAAGGAAAAAAAATGAAATTTCTAATCTGTAAGTTATTAGATTTTTCATCAATTCTCTTCTCTTTTGCTCATTCTAGTAATAACCTAGTGGCGTTTCATCAGTCAATTTTCTAAAAGTTGTTAATTTGGTTTGATTAGGTTTTTATTTTTAATGCACGGTATCAAGTCGTTTCTTACAAGTTTATTGATGTATGTTCATATTTTAACATTTATAGTATTTTTACATCAGCACTTTATTGAGTTTTATGCAAATTTTTAATGGGACATATTTTAAAGATTGTAGGAAAGTTTTTAATGTTTTTATTTAACTGCACGTGATTAAAATATTATTAAAACAAGTTATTATAACTTATTACCTTGTAGCACGGATTACTATTCAGAATCTAAGAAATTCAATTTAATTATGAATAAAATTACACGAAAAGTTTGTTTTGGTAATTTCAAGTAGAGTGCAGTTTGCTTCAGGCATGGTGAGCATGTTTGGATGTTGTGTGCAAATGGGAGTGTTAGTCTGAGGCTGTGGTTAATCCTATAGATGCCTGCTTTCGGCGACTGCTATCACCAAATCACCAACTAAGTTCGTCGACTATAATTAAATTCCATTATAACCAAATTTATTTAATTAAAGTTAGCTAACCCTAAAGAAGTTTTCAGATTATTTAATATTATTATTCATCTTTAATTGAAAAATGTACATCTCAAGTGAAATTTCACAACTTTACATTATAATATTCGTCTCTGTTTTGTACAAATATTTAATACATAAATGTAAATGTTTAAAAAGGAAATATTTAACATAAAAACTCATGTTAATTATAGTTTATTTGCACGACTGAGTTTTTTCTAACATGCCCCTGTGTGAAAATTTTATATCAAAAGAAACAGTGACATCCGTCGTACGTATTTGGAACATAGATTATCTGCAAAACATATGATGCTCATTTCGAATTCAGTTAGAAATCATTTTGATGTAAATGGTTAATCAGAAAGCCAAGTTTCAAAATTAAGAAAAACTAGTGAAGTATAGTCTTGAAATTCCACAAATATTAGAGCTTTACTGTTTGCACATTATTCTCTAAGTATACTGTATTAAATCTAAAGTTACTGCAAAATGTTTTCGAATACGTAGTTATTTCCGATCATTCTTGCTCTTACTTATTTATTTTTTATCGTTAAGTAACATTTCTGTGTGAGGATAGAAGCTTGCATAACATATACACAGCGTGGTCACAAGTAAATAGACACCA